ATTTATCGAAAGGAAGTAAATAAATATTATTTTTCAATAAATTACGCTCGAAAACGCATCAGATTATAAAAAAAGAATCAATTTCCGTGTGTTGGAAGAGTTTGCGCTGGCAAACGCGGTTCAAAAATATTTTCTTCTCCAAAATAAATATTTTCTTGCCTATATATTCTTCGGGGTAACATCCAACTACGTTCCCAATAGAATCAAACCGCTGTTGGCGAAATATAGAACTATAACGGATTAAATAAATATCTCCGATATAGCGTCTTGAAATGAAACTTTTTATCACTTTTTACGAACACCTTTTACACGTATTTATTTCCTCGAAACATCGTACATCTATCTATATACCATCGAGCAACAATTTTTATTCAATACGAGTATCGATTCTTTTATTAATTTCATTATCCATTCAAAACGAATTTTTATAAACTTAATCGATTATTAATTTCAATATAAAGAACATCTTAAACATCTCGGTTAACAGGATATTATGCCAGAAAATTAAATCTAAATATTTTTTTCATATTTTCAAATTCCGTAAGACACATTAAACACATTCTAAATTTTTATCCAATATCGTGTCGTTCATAATTTAATTAATTAAAATTAATTAACGCGTACAAAAAAAAAATTTTCCAATCACAAACCGAAACACATTTTTTGGCAGAGCAGTAACATTTTTAACGTAACCTTTTCGAAGCTTCATAGGAGATGGATTCTAGGTCGGGAATAAAAGGAGGCATGAGCCAATAGTTTGTGACGTTTAGTTGTTTATTAGCATTGATGATGCCATTTGCACGCTTTATTCGTAGAACAGTTTTATCCTTGAGCCGTGCAGGCATTTTGAGATTGCTCTAATCGCTCACTTGCGTAATATGCGTGCAATTTAACGCTGCGTTAATTAAAGAATGAAAAAAAAAAAAAAAAAAAAAAGAAAATTCTCACGAATGAGAATGTTAACAACTATATCAACGTCAGCATCGCGTCATCTTGCCTGGTTACTGTTACCGATACTCGCATGACGTATGCATCCTCCACACTGGGCGATGTGACGTGCTTAGGGTATATCGAGTATATCGCTATCATATGATGTCTCGTACTGTTATGTATACGTTTTTGACACGCGATCACGTATATAAAACACTCGAGATTTCACACGTTTGTTAAGTGTTTGATTTTAATTCTTAATCTTAATCTTTTGGAGAGTTCTTTCTAATGGACGAATATAATTTTAAATAATTACACAATTAACATTAATTATTATTTATTAATCGAAGGAATTTTTTTTAGATTTAGTTAGAATTTCTTTTTTTCTCTCTCTAATTTTTCGAATAATTTTTTTTTGTTCATAATTTTTGATTGAAATTAAATTTTTTTAAAGAAAGATTTTGACAATTTTCCTTTTCGCGATTATAAATATAAATTTCGTGTAAAAATAAATATCTTATTAGAGAGTTTTGCAAATGAGAGTTTTTGAATTTTTTTTTTTTTTTTTAAAACAAAATGAAATGGGATTTATTATTTGTAACGAGATTTCTCATGCATCGAATTAGTTATCGCGATAAGCGGGTCATAAGTGGCCACAACAATTCCAATTACGTAATTTAATTTTACAGTACGTAATTTAATTTTATATTCGACGTATAAATTACGAAATAAAATTAAATCTTCTCCTGTTTAAAATCAACATCTATCATTCATATATAAATATCCCAAATCTTAAAAATATTACAATAACATTGACTTTGTAAAATTCTGTCCAAACTTAAAAAGAAAAAGAAAATATCCCCGTTTATTCGATAACCCAAAAAAACCTGCATTGCATCCCGAAAAATTTCCAAGAAAAGAAAGAACTCGGCGTGAGAAATCATCGTCGTCGAAAGAATGGATAAATAATCGCGATGTGAAAATAATAATTGACAAAAAAAAAAAAGAGAAAAGGAGAAGAGAAGAGGAATCTCCCCCTCGATGAATGGAATCGGTTCAGGCCAAGATTACTTTGCCACTCTGAATCTCCCGGTCCACTTTGTATATCGGTATCGTCCTACACGCGCGGAGGCAGCGTTCACGGGCATGCATATGTGGATATATCGTGCATTTAGTGAGTCACTGACAAACGAGGCATCGTTGCGGAGTGTAGCGAGAACGTACACGCCGCCCGGCCCCTCTGTTTCCGACGCGCGGCCTCTCCCGTTTC